TTCCTTAGTTAAATACAGACAATTATAGACAAACCTTACTGGAGTCAGATACATAGTCAAAAGTTTGAAATGCTTTGTGTCAGTAATACTTCAACAAACTGTATAGGCAAGAAGCACCAGCTATCAGAAAGAGTTCTAAAAAACACAGATCATCTGTTCTTCCATATCTCCACATGGAATTCTGAAATGTCATCAGTTTAAGGTTTCAAACGAGAAGATATTTTCATCCATTTAAAGAAAAAAATCCATTTCCCATGCACTAGATTCATGCGACACACTAATGTTAGAGGATGTGTCCATTCTGCTCACTGATAGAAATTGTACCCTGACAATCCCAGTGATGGGACTGGAAGTGGGTTGAGCACCACAGCATCTCATAAGACGTTCTGGATTCTCCATGCTATTCCTGCAGATAAGATATAATTTGTGCTCCCCTCAGGCACCAAAGGCAACATACCAGTGCAATAACCTTCTGAGCATCCCAAAATTTACAAATAATCCTAAAGACCTGCTAATATGGTTTAGTTCAGCAACTCTTCACAGTGCAGAGTGCTGACAGAAATGTCAACGAAGCGGATATTAAACAGCCTTGAGGACGTCTTGAAGGAGAAGTCTTATGAAGCAGTTATTCTAAGGAACAAACACTGAGCAGCATGTTGAACACTTCGCAGCTGTGGCTTCTCCAACCCCATATTTTGTTCATAGACCATACAAAAGCCAAAGTTTAGGGGTTTTGTAAAACTCCCTAACAAATGGCACAGGAAGTACAATGGTGAAGTTACAGCACAGTCACAGATGTGTTGTTTCTTCACTCATGTTCAAGTTCTGTTTCTAAACTCATATTCAGATTGAATAATGGAAGTGTCAGTGAAAATGGTGTGTATATATCTGAGCAAAGTGACTTTGCATATTTTCTCAAGCACTCATTCACGCCTTCTGAACACTTCTACAGATTCAACCCTGACTAAATAGCTCATCTGAAGTAAGTATTAATAACAAAGAAATATGCTACACTTCAGCAGTATTTAACCCTGTTCTTCCCATCCTCCATAAATAACACATATTTTCCCTTGTAGCCGCAGAATTAGTTGAACTAACAATTAAAGAGCTGAAACAAGTCAAGGCACAGGTATATTTTAAATGTACTTATTCAGAGGGTAGAGAGAGAACAAGGCAAAATTTCATCAGCATTAATAAAAACATATTTTATAATACACGGGATGACCAATCGTTCTCAAGCTCCAAGCTACGCAACCTCATAGGTGTCTGCTCCGAACTGCTGGCTCTCAGCAGTCACATGCAAAGCAGGTGGCCATGACCTTCATTAATAGGGTTTTTTGAAAGTTTGAAGGGGTTCAAGAGTCCTATAGAACAAATTAATGAGTCTTGATTGACAGAAGTACTTAGAATAGCAATTATTATAAAGAAAGGCTGTTATCACCAATGGAACAACAAGTGACACAGAAGCCAGAAGTACTGAGGTTTGCAGTATGGCACAAAAACAGAAAAAAAAAAATCCAGATGTACTGACTCAGATGCCCCGTGTTAATTCCACTGAAATGAATGATGTGATCTAGGGAATAAATTTTTTCATGTCAGTTGAGACAACGTTTTGTCCCACCTCCCGCGTGTCAGAGGCAGGGTGTGCTGTGCCTCCTGATGCCTCTAGCAAAGCTCTGCATCTCCACCTCTCTCGCTGTGCTGAGCTGCACAGCAGGAAGCATTTATTTGGTACCAATTCCTGCCAGTGAAATGCTCAGGAAGACAGAGCTGGTGTCCATAGAGACACCTTGAAGGCCTGGAAGTTCCTGCCAAACTTCAAGAAGTACTCCAGATTATGCCCCAAATTCTCTGTGGAGTTGTGACTACCTAAGGCAATGCTCCCGAGACATCTCAGCAGAGAAGCAGTTGTAAATTTTGCACTAAGAAAGCAAATTAAAAGCTTCCATTAATTTTACTTTTGAAGTTGGATAGAAGGATCTAGAACAGTAAATAATTATTAACTTTCTGGTTAGCTACAGATTTCTTTTAGCTTATCGCTGAGCCAGCCTCCACCTCAAATCTGCCATCCATTAACGTGTGACCGTTAATTCTGTCCTTCACATAAGCATCTTCAAAGTAAATCTGTAAAAACTGTGAAACGCTCAAACCACAGTAAGAAGACATTTAAGTACCAGAAAGAGATGGCAAGCTTGGATATTGCTTAAAAGAAACCAGAAAAAAGCCATGGTTTTTAGGGTTTTTTTCTAATTATGACTGAGAATACATTCATCTTCCATAAAAGTGTCACTTTATATCCTTACATTAAATTTAGCAGACTTTTTTATATAGTGCATATTTCTGAGAAAAATGCATGCCTACAACAACAGAGAGTCAAGTAAGAGATAGTCACCGATATTTTATTCTTCTGGAAGTGGAAAATCCAAGCACATAAATCAAAGTGACCCTAAAGCAGTGACCAGCATGCCCTGAGCAGATCAACAGTGGTTTCATTGACCTCCAGGCTCATACAGGGTCATATTTTCACACAGATGAACTGGTGTTGAACTGCTTTGCCATTGCATTGTGCACAAAGAGACCCCAGCTGAAATGTGTCTCTGCTTTCTGTTAGGGTAACCTGGATCACTTCCCAAAACAAAAAAAATCAAACCCACATTCCATTTCAAAATGTGCTTCTCTGTCCTGCCATTTTTCTGGATCCCTTTCTTCTAGTCTTGATTTTCATAAATACCTTTGCATGAATTTACAGATGATATTTGTATTAAAAAAAAAAAAAATCACAAACCCCAACCCTAAAAAAGAATAAAACCAAACCTCAGCATTTGTTAATAAAGCTGCTTCTTTGTTTCTGAAGATTTTTCCAGGGCACTTTTTCGTGCTTGTGAGAATCAGACTATTCAGTATGTGCATGAACTCTGGGCAGCTCATTTGAAAGCTGTAGGCTTTCCTTCTAATAGACGTACACTTACGTGTCCCTTACATTACTGTAGTATTTCACAAATGTTAATGTGATTAACCCTGCAGTTTTCCTGCTTGGCGGGAGGGTGCACTGAGGCACTGACTATAAACGAGAGGTTCAGCCCTCTGCTGAAGGACACCACAAAGCTCACAGGCCATTGGAGTTTTCTGAATATACTTGTATAATGTTCAATCAGTGGGTAAGCCTTGTTTGTCTCCCAGCATCAGAAGGCATCAAAGCCACTGGCTGGCTCTTGGCACAGGGATGAATTTCGTCAAAACCAGTGTGCCATGGCCACGCAGAACATTTGTGGCACAGGCAGGACCTGAATCCAAACCAGTCCTAACTCCCAGTTTAATGTTTTAATCACAAACCTGTCCTCATCGTTATCCTGTAACATCTCTCTATGCAATTTTGGGAGTGCTCACAGGGCAAGATGGAGAAGCAGCAAGCGAAGTTGGGAATAGACAGAAATGGGCGGCTGTGCAGGCTAGATCACCCCCTAGAGAGGTGGGCTTTAGTCCCTACCCTAAGGGTTTTCCATGGTTTTCATAAAAAAATTATGGCAGTTTGGGGGTGACTTCTGTGGCAGAACTGGAAAAACAGAGGCAAAATTTGCCTCTTTCACAGGCCCACATTTTGTTTCTAATTTCAGAGCCACCATGCATGTTAATAACAAATGCACAATGTTTTTGTTGCTTTCTTTTTTTGCAATGGAAGTGATTTCTCTCTGTCAAAATCAATCATAATATCAGTTTTAATCAGATAAAGCTTTTGGCTTCAACTATCTAAATTGCCCTTCCCACAAAGCCTAAGACAAGCATCAGTACTCCATCACAAAATAAATGTGTTGATATTTGATAGTTCATTTGAACACAATGGTATTTACATCTTAGTTGGTTAGATTTTCATTTAACACAAGTTATGGGTTCACATTGGAAATAAAAACAGTACTTCTCTGTTCCTCTTGCCATTCATGTCTACTTTTGTTTCAGCCTAAAATAACACATTGCTAGAGGGTATTTTCTTAACACTGCCAAGCCTGAATGCAAGCCCTGTGGAAAATGTTTGTGTTGGGCTTGCCGTGGTCCGGACTAATAACAACGTGATGATGTATAGGTGAATTCCTGCTCCTCAAGTCCTCTGTGACATACAGATTAGGCCTGCCCTTATCTTCTAAGACATCTGGATGAGTGTCTGGGTTTTAATTTCACAATGAAATCACTGGGGACTAGAGTTATGTTATGTGCTTATGAACAAAGTGGAATATCCCTGGTAAGGGCAAGAGTGGATTACCTTAGATAACTCTACTTAAACCAGAGAACATTTGAGAATGTTGAAGAAAGAAAAGAGGTTCCACCAGTAAAAACAAACACAGGCCTAAATTTGTGTTCTGTGTACTAAACATTTTAAAGCTCCTGAAGGTTGAAATATAACCACATGTAAATGGACTGATAAAGCTAAGGCATCTCTTGAAAAACCAGATCAGGCTTCCGAGGACAACTACCAGCACTAAATCCTAATGGCATGCATAAATCATTTGGAGACAGACTTATTCAGAAGATGCCACTTTAAAGTCAAAATACGTTGCTTTAATCCCCAGAAATAGTATGTGCATGCTAACAGTTGCAGAAAATGGTTTAGGACAACATGAAATTAGTATCCTAAAATTCATAAATACATGCTTTTCCTAAAATGAAACTTTTTATCTATTTATGCTCATAAAACTGTCAGAAAAAAAAAAAAGACCTGTGAGAGCATAAAAGGGTCAGTCCTGCCTACTACAGCACAGCCATGGACAACATTAAATACATCAAAGTTCATGTGATGTTCATGGTTGGGCTCTGAGGGTTACAGAGCTGAATAATCAGCTTGCCAGCCCCAAATCCTGTGATCCAGGACTACCACAGCTTCCCAGCTTCACTGTAGCCCTGAAACTCTATGCGCTTTTGGCAGCCTTTGTAGAAATTTCCTCCACGCTTTCAGCCCCTAGTCAGGCTATAATCCCAAGGATCTGAGCCTGCCTTGCTTGCTTGCGGCCATGTTAATCTATGTTCGGGTCTGGCCTGCAAGACAGCACAGGCTTGGCAACTTGGATATGGGCTCTCACCACAACGCAGAAACAGAAGAGAATCAGACTGAAAGCCTGAAGGATCCAGGCTTATATTCCAGTATTGGCTGCAAAATGTTCCCCGTCTGCTTGCGCATTCAAGTTGTAGAAGTGCTGAACACTCACAATGTAGAAAAAATGAAGACACAAATAATGGCCTTGAGAGTAAAACTACCAAAATCTCATTTCGTTTAGTATATTAACTACATGTCTTCTAATCTGTTTATAAAGTTAGAATCATCCCAGACATTGAATGCTTTTAGTAAACCACAGAGATTAATATGTACTTCAGAAGGTTTCAGTTAATACACTATTTTAGTTAATAAATGCGTAACGAGCTATTCCATTTTAAACAAGTAGCAATATAACCTGCAGAAGTTGAGGCTTTGTTTCCCTTGAATATCAATAGGAAATACAAAAGGTTTCATTGAAAACCATAGAAAAACTTCTGTGGACTTTGCTGGGTTCAAGATTTCACCCAATAATTTCTCATTTTTCATCACCACAGACAAATAAAACATTTTCCTCCACCTTACTTGTATACTCTATTCACAATCTCTCTACATAGACAGGAAAATATTTTTCAAATGAAGTGCCTGTGCTGTTCCCATATAGACAAGTTGTTCTATTTAGGCTAATCCAGTCATGAAAAGAGCTAAATGAGATGTCGAGCTTTCTTTTTGATCCTCGGTTTAACAAGAGTTTTAATCAGTAATAGATCTCACGTACATGTGACGCTCTGCAAGTAATGCAAGAAAAGTAGATCAGTTTCTTTTCTGAGCCCTTCATCTGCTTACTTTGCTTAACAAGAAATCACAACACAGATCCTGTCTCTGTTGTTCATATGTTAGAGTCAAAGGGGGAAGCTCCATGCAACCAAACCTTCTCTAAATTTGTGTAGTTGCAAACTCCAGACTGCAATATTTCAAGGTGAAAATGCTAACCTTGCCCTCAGTGGTGCACCTGGGACACTGGCCCTGGAAAAATGAGTGTAGGGCACAAGGCATCATTATATGCCTTTCTTAACAGAGTAAAATGTCTAATATCCCATCAAGGAGCCAACCTTGTCAGCATGGATGTGCTGCTTGGCTGGAAGGCTGGTGGGGTCCTTTAGTATATGAAATTATATATCACTGATCCATTTGAAAGACACTAGAGAGGTAGCTGAGTTTTGTTTTTCTTTTCATTTTGCATGGAGATCCTACAGCTCTGGGCAAGGCACACAACAGCCATTGTGTGTTGCAGTCAATCCCACTGAAGCTGTTGCCACCATCACGTGCAGCAGCAGTTACACCTCTGCACTGCAGGCTGGAAGCAGGTGCTCTCAGCATCTCAGCTTTACAGACCAGCAAATTAGCTTAAACCACTGGTAAAATGCTAGAGTAGTCTTTCCAGTTGTGCCATAAGGGCAAACAGCTGGGTGGCAGCTGCATCTCCAAATCATGCATTTATCACTGGGAGCTGTTGCCAAATAGAAACTGAGTCAGAGCCCTAAAATCAGATCAGAGGTTTTAGTGCATGGAGAGGAGCCAGGTCAAGTGCCTAAATAGTCTGGGCTTAACCTCACACCTTCTAGAAGACCGTAGGTTGGTGAGGAGGAGTTTCCTCATCTTTGACAAGTTAACAGATGTGCCTGGGGATGGAGGCGAAGCTCCAGGTTGCCAGAGGAAAGCAGGAAAGCTTCCAAGACCAAGCAGACTTGTATCTCCTGCCACCAATGACTGTGGGTAGGCTGAGCAGACTTGCTTTCAGTGTTCATATGAAGGCACCAGCGTTAAGAACAGCAGTGGTACCCCACCCACAGAACAGATTCAGTCTCAGCTTTCCTCCACAAGCGTGTGTGGGCCCACCTCTACTACACGTCTCTCCTGCTGTTCTGCAGTCATCTGGAATGCTCGGTCTTGCCAATGCATGTACACCTACACGGGCCAATCTTGCAATCATTTACTCAGGCACATGGGTTGCACATAAGTAATGAGCTGCTAGCATCCTAGCATGTTAGACAATATGCTGACAATGTCATAACATTATTTCAGCCTTCTTAAAAGATAAGACCCAACCTGTTCTAACCTGCTCAGGTCATTATCTTGTTACCACAAGATCCCATCACTAACCAGTTCAGAGTACGTAAAGCTGTAATTTGCACTAAAATGAATTATGTATTGTTTACAGTTTACCATTAAATTACAATGAACAAAAACAAGCATCTAGGATGCCTCTTTCAAAGTCTTCCAGATGAGTTTAAATGTACACAGAAATAAAAGATGCAATAGAATTAGCAGTAGGCTGGAGCTGGGTTGGCTAATTTTCACACTGACTTACTTAAAATCAAGAAGGAAAACAGTGAAGATCTTTATACGGACCATCAAAAAGCCTGACTGCAAGTGGTTCCAATTTGCTTTAGTAATTAAATCGAAAGGAGTTTAAGGGTTTTTCACCCAGGTCATTTACTACTTTGGAATTTTACTGCTTGCTTTGCAAAGAAAACAAACCGGAATGAGTTACTAGTGAGTATAAAGAGTGAGTGGATGAACACTGCTAAACAAACCAAACAGTGAGCTCAAGTGGATATAGAAAACACAAGTCAGAATTCTAAATATGGATCTGAGAATAGTGTAAAAGGATTAGACGTCTTTGTCACATGAAGAGCAAACCCGCATGCCAGCATGCCTTTCCAGTGCAAGCAGCCACTGATCAAAGTAACATCTACCAGTTTGTAAATATGCTAATCTTCATGTTTACACAAAAGTGTCAGCACTTGCTTTACATCACAAAGAGCCTCATACAGTTGAAGATTAATTACTTCCAACACTGAGATGGTGTGTAAATACTGGTTTCACCAGAACCCTACCTTTTCCTGTATTTGCACAGCTCAGCAGAGGTGTTTGTTGCTAAGACAGATAGTTCAGGGACACTTACAAAGTGTCAAATATCTCCAGCTTTATACAGATGGATAGACTTTTGACAGGTATCTTTCGGTGATTATGCGGAGCAGAGATTAGGCATGTTTAGGCTCCATGTTGTAAGTACTGGATGGAAAAATATTTTTGCCTTTTTGCATGAATTTTAGCTCTGAATAGCACTATCTCCCCTAAACCTGATCTGTGCCTTCAGCTTTTACACTTACGTGTGATTACAAACCATTAAAAGCTACTTTTTCCAATCACTTTCCTGCATTATAAGGGCTTAGAGCCACCTCAAAGTCTGCTGAGCTCTTGAGAGCTTCCATATCTGTTTGCTGAATGCCCAGTTCTAACTCCAGTTTAGAGAAGGATAAAAACTATTCCAGGAACACACAAGCACATCATTTGTCTAGGAGGGAATTTCAGGAACCTTAAACTGTGCTATAGAGCAGGAAGAATAGTCACAATGCGCATCGAGACTGAGATCAGCACCTAACATTGCATTGTTGCAACAGGGAACAACAATAAGAAGATGAAGCCAAGGTACGACTGGATTTTCAAGGTTCAAGTGCTTAAGCCATGGCTTGTAATATCTCTTTAAAAGATATTTTACATTTTCATTTCCATTACTGTGTATCCCCTGAAAAAAAAATCTAATACTAAAGGGTCACTAGCAATAATTTAAAAAAAAAAGGGATTGCTTTCAAGTGGGAATTCTCAATTCTCTGCACCTCTCCCTCCCTGTTAGTGCTCAGCACAATGATTGCCACAGGAACGTCACCACTTGCCAATAATACTATCACATTTGTTTCCTATTCTAAGATAAAGAAAAAAAAAGTGGGGTGGGGGATGTTGGCAAATGCTAGCACTACCAGATTGCCAGAGTAAACAAGAGTGAATAGATGAGAATGATTTGGGGATTTAAAGAAAAGAGAGTCAAAGGCAATGTTTAGACAGTGAGAAAGAAATGGCTTCCTTATGAAACACCAAACTGGAGTAGAAATACTTCCATATTAAATGCTCAATGATGTGCTTCACAGGAGTACTTACTGTCCAAGTCAGCCAGTCTTTCATTTCCCTCTTTACTGTGGATGCAACAAGATGGCATTGGCACCGGGAGGTGCTCTCAAAGCAAAGGGGCTGACAGCAGCCAGGCAAGACTGGCAAGGTGACACATGGGCCTCTCCGTCCCCAGTCCCCGTCCCCACACCAGCAGCGCGGAGCCAGCAGACCCCAGCCCAGGCAGCCGCACGGGCAGCGAGAGTGGCAGGGGGCTCTGCTCCAGCTTGGTGCACATGGCAGCAGCAATGTGTGGAGCGGAGACGGAGGCTGGGGTGGTTAAATCAACATGTTCCATCTCACATTTGCGTAGGGCAACACAATCATCAGATTAATTACTAATTACAGTGGACTGCTCGTAAGTAGGTTCACAGCAATAATAATAATAATAAGACTAAAAGAAGCATTATTAGCATAGTTAATTATATGACCATTGGCGAGATTATTGATGGAGATACAAAATGCTGTTAAACAAGAAAGATATGTATGACATTGCTTAAGAGAAGCTTCCCTATTGCTTCATATCTTTTTAGATTTTTCTAATCATCTCATCTGTGTTCCAAAAGTGCAAAAAAACAGTAATTATCTCTGTTTGATCTTTGACTAACAATTGTTTATGAATCTAATGGAACAATGGCGCTTCTAAAATGTAAGTAAACACAGCAATCTTTATCAGCATAAAACCTTCAGCCACACCGGACTGGGTTATGGGAACCTGTTGTGTGATGAAAGCAAAAAAATAGTAATTTATTGGTTTAGTCATAATCCTTTCAGTAGTCCAGATTGCTGTTGCAAATTTGTTAAAAATCTGCTACCATTCACTGAGCAACAGTACACCACCTGAAGCAATAACATGGGTGGGGAATGTAAAGGAGCACTCGGATATTCATGTGTGGCATGAGTTAGACAAGGCCACAGAAAAGGAGCTGAGAACAATGTTGCACAAACCAGAGGGAGATTCCTGTTCTCCCACAGCGTATACGCAATTTAATCTCCAAACAGAGATTCAGTTTAGCTTTTCAAATGTATGAAAAAGAATTATTCACTCGGTAGTGGTCCACTTGCTCCAGTGGAGGACCTACTGCAAGGAGACACCATCTATATAAAACCACACTCCCATTTGAAAAGTGTTTGCATTAATACACACTATTTTCTCTTTAGTTTTTCGTTATTTTGTGCACTTGGCAATACATAGCTCACTGT